GACTCCTCGAAAACTGGTCCGATTACGGAAAATAAAAGAGCTATTCCGCTGTGAGGAAGGCGAGCTTTCCGATGCAAGTATCAGAGAGACGAATTTTCGCCCTCCAGCGCTATTATGGAGGGTGGCTCTATTTTTTTGACCGTTACTTCTAAATAGCAGACGAATTTTTTCCCAGTTCCAGGTGAACGGATTTTTCAAAGTAGATATACGAATCGACAGCTCTTTTCCCGCGCTACAAGATGCCGACCACACCGAGCCTATGCGATACCCTCGTCCCGACTTATGAGGGTTTTAAAATGACATTGGAAATTTCGAAAATGAGCGAATTTGAAACGGGTGTAACCCCCTCAAAACGTATTCAAATGTCTGAAGTGACGTGTTCATTGGGAAGCCCATCCACTTCTCGTCAATCTGAAAAAAAAAGTCCGATTCGGTCGATTTTCTGAAAAGTTACGGACCTCCGAAAAAAGAAGAAGAAGTTTTTAGGTGGCTCTATTATTTTGACCGCCACTGTAGATCGTTAGTTTCCGAACTGACCTACCATTCAGTCGTTTAAAATCCTAAAATGGTCGTCAAGCATAATCGCCTTCTCATATTCAGTTCCGGACCCGATCATGAGGAACTCCTCGGGAACCGCAAAGAAAGGCCGTCAGAAGCGAATTTCCTCTGTACGCGAAGGGAAATAATCGCGGAGGGTATGATCGGATATGACAAACTCAAACTGCTCAAATTCGCAAGAGTTTCGTGAAAACGCCTCAGGAAGCATCGGAATCAGGGGAAAAGTGAGAACGCTCCGTCCAGTCGCTAGGAAGCGAATTCTTCAACCTCGGATTCCATCAGGAGGGTGTTTGCAACGAGTATTTCATCAAAAGGGTGTTTGCGACGAGCCTCTTGCGAGCAAAACTCTGTCATCGATAGACTTCCAAGTTCCCACGAGGCGAAGTTCGAGACAAAGAAGTCTGGTGACTCGAAACTGAATGAATAGAAGCAGTCCGTTGGGGGCGTGAGTCCCTATCCCACGTGGATCTCATGGATTGGTTTAATGAGAGCGGACATACGCATACACACCCTCGTCCACAAAGCATCCGGCATGTCTTCGTTTATGGGCCAGGCTGCGGGTCCAGCTCAGTTCGAGCAGGCAAGATACGGGCGCCCTCGAGTCGATATAAATTATTATATTAGGAACGAAGATAGTCCTAACGAATCCCGTTTACATCATTCCAGGGCTCTCACGCACTAAGATCTTCTGCCTGGGCTCGGCAGCGCTGATCATAGTCGCTCTATGCATCATTATCCCGATCGTCCTGAACGAGACGAGCAACAGTTCGAAGCCGAGCAACACCACCAGCACACGGGGCTCTTCCATAGCAGAATCACTTGTAACGGCGGCGTTGCCAGCGTCGCCGGTGATGAGCACCGAACCGACGCAGCCTGAGCTGCCAAAGACAAATTCGGCAGCGGAAACGACACATATGGACGAAGTCCCCAATGTTGACCAGATGAGCTCGGTTCCAGAAGCGAACCCACCTGCGAGCCTACCTGATGTTCCAAAAGATTCAGAGCAGCCAACCGCGGCCGTGACGGAGGCACTGCACACAACTCCCGACCTGCCCGGAATCGGATCAACAACCCACGATAACGCAGGACTGACCAACCCGGACGGCATGTATTCCTTGCCGCCAATGGTCGGTCCCACGGGAGCCGGAGATCTGCAAGATACACAAGCACCCGCGGTGGAGTTTTCCGCACCGCCTGATCAGCAAGGGGACATGAGCGTTCCCCCGGCAGTCCAAGGTTCCACTCTCCCTGAATCTCCAGCGACTTTCTCTGAACCCGTAGCGAGTTCCGCGAACATACCCATGACGCCGGAAGTGTGAACACTCGAACGATCTTATTATCTTTTCGGTCGCTCCACGGCTTAAGAACTTCGAACTTCACGGTTTTCTGCAAGCCCAACACCAAAGACCACTGTCTTGTCAGAGAGGTTAACGTGTCGGAGAGCTCACCGGTGTAAATGCTTTGAAAATAATAAGTGGTGTTCACATATAGGGATCCTGTGGAGATAATCCCAGTAATAAACTGTCGTATTTTGACGAGTTCCTCAAGGTCTCCCACAACCTTCCCTGAAGGGAATCGGTTCCCGAAAGAATCCCTCGATAGTCTGTGCCCCCTGATAGATGATATGAACAATTTCCATCAATACGTGAGCCCATCCACAAGTTTTCACGAGAGCGCATTTCATAGACATTCGAAATACGCGTGATCCGCCAGGGACCCGGTGTCGGTCCACTCTCCAGTGTCGATTCCGGAACCGGTCCATTCCCGTTGGTGCCTGTCACGAAGATATCTCCCGGCGGCTCCTCGAGAACTCGATGCCGAATTAAGATTGGAGAAGTTTGTTCGTTGACTCCTTCCTCTTCGGAGGCATGATCGAGCGACTTCTGAAACAAGACGTCTCACCTTCCGAGCGTGCCGTCATTCCTGCTATTCAGGATTGCGAGACTATCCATGAGAGTCGTCCTGAGATGTTCGTTGATTCCTCTTATATACATATATGGAGCGCTTCGTCTGTGTGCCCGTCTGTCTGAGATGCATTTCGCGCGAAGGAACTCTCCTGTCCCAGAACCCCGAGCATTCCTCCTTCAGGAAACCGCACACTTCAGGAAACCGCCTATATCCCCCTTCTAACCGGGAGCACTTGTCGTTCATCGAGGCTATCGTTGCCACCGATTTCGGTTGCGAGGCGCCAAGTCCGAATTTTCGCAGCGAGCAAGCTCGCCAAGTACTGTCTCGCGGCGAGGGATTTCATTCATCTGGACAGGAAGGAATCTGTTCTGGTGCCTTCCGAAAAAGCGCTTCGAGGACGGTGGCTCCGGGGGAATTCGATAGCGCCCGAAAAACTTGCAGTCCGCACAAGGCCACAGATGCCATGCTCAGATCGGACAAGGCGAGCGCCGCCGCCCTGAAAATCTGCCGCAGTTCCCCGGCTTCCACAGTCACCATCCCCAATCGTCTTATCAAGTCCTTAACGAGCCCTGAACAGGACGTCAAGGTAAGACATCTCTCGTATTCTCTTCCCTCCCCCGAAAAATTGATCTTGCCTTTTGAGGCGTCCACCTCTCCGGAGCTTGATTCTAAGCGTTTTTCGTCCTGGATGTATGATAAAAGTTTCTGGTGCCGCAAAAGTCTTCGAGAAGATTGAGTGCCATCTGCTCAGTCTGCCGCCGACGGACCCCTACGGACCCGACTTCCACTTTTGCCTCGTCGGCTGACGGTCTCAGTGTTTCCCCCGTGAGCGTTTCGAAGGCGCAGCTCATCAGAGCGATTTTCTTCCAAATGGACAGCAGGAACAAGAGTTCCCTTCCTGTAGACAACTGGACCTGAAGAGCGGTCCTCCGATCCTGGGGTAGCAACCCCTCCACGAGACACCGGTTGGACAGCCACCACCCTCAGTGGTTGGTCGGCCACTGATCGGTTGGCCGGTTCGAGATTCTGTCAACTCCAGTCGCCCTACTCGAATTGCCGTAGGGCATTTTCCTCACGACCTCCTCTAGCGGAAACGTTCCGTCCAGCCGGTTGGCTCTTTTCTGTCTGGCATCGGATGTCCTCCTGATTGTCTCTCACTCAGACGCGTGTGCCCCTCGGCTAGAGTCCGCTTCAGTTGCGCTTCCATTATGTACAGGGCTTCAAAATCCCGTTCTTATCAACCTGTGCATGTCCTTCTCGACTCTCTCCCGCCTGTGAGTTCCCCATCGTTCCTTGCGCTGCACTCCCGCTCGTCTAATCTCGAGACGTCTAATCCTTCTGCCGTATTATTCCCACCCTCGTGCGTAGTGCTGTCCCAACTCCGGTCTGCCCTTCGCTGGGGTCACAAGGTGGGAAGATCTTTCGCGTGCTAGCCAAGGCTCATGATCGGAGCACGGTTCAGTTTTCCTTATTTTCTCGAGTGCTCAACGCCTGTTCTAAAGTTCTCCCTGCAAACGATCCTCCCAAAATCTTCGCATGACGTGCCCCTCCAATTCATCGTCGAGACTATAGAAGTCTGGCTGTGTCTACAGGCCAGGGTCTCGTGTGCATCTTGCCGCAGAATTCCTCCGAGTCCGTTCGACCGTCGCCTTCATCCTGATGAGGGCCATTATCCGGATCGAACTTACCTACTTCCCGTCCGAGAAGAAGGTGTTTTTCCTCCTTTTCTATCGAGTGACGTGATGACGATATCTATGACAGATCGGCCTACCGGGCCATTCACATTGGCTGGCGTCTCCGAATCGCTGCAAACTCTCATATGTCGCCCGCTCAAGGGTCCGGGAACTAAGGTCTGTCCCCCGAACATCCGGCTCACCCATCGTCCCGGACTCCCGACATTCCTTCCGACGAGTTGAATTCGAAAGGAGGACCGATCGTCAGGTCGACGCGCAATCTGGATACTACCAGCGTCCTGTGAAACGGCTCAATGATATCCAATGATTATTGTTGATTATATTGGCGTACATGACCTCCATGCTACATTGATTACCGCATCGATTCCGCCTACGGGAGACCCCATTATCGAAGTCGAACGTCGTTTGCCCAGAACCAGAAGAGGTTCCCGGAAGGGGGTCCTGGCCGTTCTGGGGGCTCCGGAGCCTGGTGAAAATAATTGAACATATTGTCCTTGGAGAATATAGCCGACATAGCTTACAAGAGCAGGTATCGGCCGGCAGTAAGGCGTCAGAATTTCCTACTACATGAATACACTGAGCGGGCTCATGCGATGAAAAACACGGAACATATTTTTTCCCAGCAAAGCTATCGGCTAGTACGGAATGACGTCGCGGACGGTCCCGAGCAGAGTCGAGAACTCCGGAGGGTCCCGCGCGGAAAGAATAGGGGCCTGGAACTTCCCTTTTACGTCGAAGATCGCTCACGATTTGCTCGCTAGTACCGCCCATCGCCAGCACGCCGGACCAGTTGTCAATCCAGGCGCGGAAGACTTTTTCTGGTGGAATCCGCGGAATAATATCCTAGACGTCTGCTTACGCGCCCTCGGAATGAAGTTAAGGAGTGGAACGACTCAAGTTGATGACTGAGCTCATCAAATCGCGAGAATTATTTTATCGGGAAATGAGCATAAAATCGAGTTACATCCCAATCCAGCGTCTACATTGCCCATCTCACCCTCCACGGGACATCAAAGCAAAGATTCATCTCCTCGTTCCCCCAATCGGCAAGATATTCAAAGTTCCACATCTGGTCGGATTAAGATGTCATTTCGGACTCGACTTGATGTTATCGAGACGAGCTGAAGCCCAGCAATGTTCCGACTCAGAGCTTCGAATCGAGTCACCGGGCTACCCCCCCATAGAATAAAGTAGTAGTGTCGGTCCGTCGCTGAAACAAGAATCGGAGTTATTAGCGTGTTAAAGGACTTCAAACTACCTCGTGACGATGCAGAATCATTCCTGCTAGCGTAAGAAGCAATTTTCCCCGCGATCAATCGCATAGTTCTCAAGTCGTTCAGGAAATTTGGCAAGTTTTTCCCTGGTGTTCGCTGGATGTTTCTCCTCCCCACTAGCTCTCTCCACATGATGCCCCGACCGTTCCGCCAAGGCGCGATTCGAAAGACGACGTAGCAGCCTTCTGAGTGAACATGATCGGGGTGATCAGAGGATCGAGAGCGTACGAATGAGTGACATTCCCTCCAGCCTCAGAAGCTCATCTACTCCTGGAGCTCGCGAGTCAGCATCGCATGAGAGTCATGTTGTCATTCATGGTATCCCGACCGCCCGAGTCTGCGAAACTATGAGGACCGCTCGCTTTGCATCACCCGATGAGCCGATAGCTCCGAGATCGAACGCAGAGCTCTCCAGAATATCTTCAGATGATATCACGACTGCTCCGGCGACAATCTTACGATTCGAATGACGACGCAGCAGCCTACCGTGCGAGCTACCCTAAATACCTACGGAGGCTCGAATCGCCTCGGAACCATGATCGGGGTGATCAGAGGATCGAGTGTTCCAATAGATTTCATTCCTGCCATACCGGGAACTTGTTGTCTTCCAGAGCTTGCAAGTCAGCATCGCATAAGTTTCATGTTCCTTCGCATTCTATCATGTTCCTTCGCATTCTATCATGTTCCTTCGTTCCCTATCATGTTATTCCGTGCGCTTCTCTGCGATAACAATATCAGGTCGACGATGAATCGAGAGGTAATTATGAAACAGTCGTCCTGATCACCGACATGGCTGCATTTGCCGCGGAGGTCCCGTGGCATGGCGTTGCGTAGCTAGGGGCTGATTACTTATTCATTTCTTGAGAAAGTATTGCCCGTCGCGATACGGACGACTCGGCCGGACGTCAAGAGTAGAACCTCCGTGCACGGAACGCGAAGATTATCGGCACGTCTCGTTATCCGGAGCCACAACCAAGATCCGAGCATTCATGTCGATGGCTCGAAGGGTCCACAAGCCGGTCCGCGCGGAAAAGGAGCCAGTATGAGCTCATTGCACGAACTCCGCCTAGCAAACGATAAGAGGGGGCGATCACGGCTTTCCACAGACACCTCATCGAAGGGTGAAATTTGACGGACACTGTAATATCGAAACGAGCAGAGGATCCAGAAATGTTCGATGTGTACGAGAAGTTAATTGAAAAAATCCTTGCGAGAGCGAGAGGCTCGCAGGCAAGAAGCTTCGGCTCACGCCGGATGCGGACAGCACGTGCATGAAACGAGGTGTCCACAAGGAATCGGTCGAGTACATCCTTTACGACTGTGGGGATAGATATAAGGGAGCTACCCAACTTGGTACCCTAGGGGATGGAAAGCCTTGATTCACAGACGCTCCGGACCCCGCTTCTCCGCACAACTAAGAGGCTGCAGGAATATTGAAGAAGACTCCGACATATGCGGTGAATCCGCCTTCGAAGTAAGAGTACCCTAATATGTTTATCATTAGGGATCGATGAATTACCATGACCGTTTGCTAGAAGGAGCGTGCTGAAAAGCGTGAAAATCGATATCAAACGCTGAACTGGATCGGTTCCCGACACTGGAATCCTGGGTGAACCAAGCGATCTGTCACTGATTGCGTCGTGACAGAGAAAATGTCCAGTCATCTCTTCCGGCCGCTGAAGACGGGGGTGTCGCCCTGTGCGGCTACTGGCGCGCAGTGGTCCGAGAATCACTTTCTCCCGGATGATTGAAACGCATCGGACAAAGAGCGTTACAGCTCGACGCCTAAAGGGCGTCGCATGTGAGGGTGTGCTTGAAGGAGTCAGAATAATCTTCGGCGCTCGCAGTGTTGAGCATTCGTGGAGCTGTCCTGCTGCTGTTCACATCGACGTTCCTTAGTTTGGCCGAATATCTCGATCTTTATCGAATATATCGAACCGTCCCACAGCCCTCATCATGGAGAGCTACCCGTTGACTCTCAGGATAATAGTTTTAGCCGTTGCCTTCGCTTGCGTGCGTTCAAATCAGCCGCGGGATTACGACGGTAAGATACTTGAATGCACTTTAGTGTCACGACTCGAGCTCCCCGCAAGTTTCGGACTAGTTTCGCATTCGGAAAGCGTTAGAGTGGCACATATCGCCAACCGCATAACAGTCAACGCATTACTAACCCTTAAATTCGATTGATGAGGGAAGACTCGGAAGGAGTAGCTTCTTCGATATCGACGATCTATCGAAGTTCGAGTTGACTTATGAAGAGGAGACCTAATGTCGCAGATTATTCGGGATACCCATCCATGGAGGTATTCACGAGACGCGTGGGTTCCATCGCGTATCCCCCTCCCCGGCGTTCCCCCGTACCGGCCACCCTGAGACAAAAACGGAGACCCCCGATAAGGAGACATTGGGCCAGTGATGCCTATGATCTGCAGGCCTACGAGAGCTCAAATGCGGAACGCAAGGGTCTATTCAGTGGTGAGTTGGGTCGCGACTTTTCCAGTATTCTGATTTTTGATAGTCGTCGTCTCTTTATCTCATCGAGAGAGCTCCTCCACTACTTTCTCAGGGGTTGGAAGTGACATCCTCCTAGCATCGTTGCCTTTCGTTTTCGCTCCCTTGGTCGGGATGCTGATGGCACCTTTAACCCTCCCTACGCAGATGGCGGCAGCGAGCCTACTGGCTGCTAGAGGTAAGTTGACTCCCGTTCCTTCTTCGCTCCCCAGGAACACGTTATAGAAATATACTTAAATAGAAGGACAGGACCCTCCAGGAAACCCCGTTCCTGAATTACATGAAAGAAGCCAAAAATATGGGGAAGCGTGACTTCCTGCCTGTCCTTTTGTAATCATGCCCTCCGCGAAGCATGGACACTGAAACGCGGAAACCGAGCGGAGACTCGAGGTCCGGTGCGCATGTTTACATGACTCCGCTCAGAATCATCAGAAACGGGTTTTCAGACCAACTGTACCCTACTTCTTTCTGATGGACCCTCGATCTGATGAATGGGTGGCTCCCAGTAGAGCTGCATCCCGCCCTTATTTCTGGCGATTCGTTCAAGTGCAGTGGCCAAATTCCATTCAGACGTCTTCCTCGCGGTCCGCTTCTACAATCGGAGCCTTTGCATGGATGCTCCCGGATCTCGTGGGAGACATCGGCGGGAGCGGACCCGAGCGGTGGTCTGATTGAGACATTAGGGATTTTGTATCGCAGCGATCGTTATTGTTGAAAGCCCGACCGCCCTCCGCGAACGATCATAGCCGAATTACCACCTGAATTCCGTACTAACATTTGACACAGAACGAATCGACTCACGAGGATCAATAGGCTCTTTCGTGTCGCGCTGTCACGTGTAATCGCGGGCATAGCCCAAAGAGCGTTTAGGCTCGTCCACCGACCCAGATCCGCGTCCTAGATAGGCGTTATTGATTGATCCCATATCCACGCATTGGTCATTCCGTGGTTCCTTCATTCACTCTCCCCTTCGCTCATTCACCCGTCTCGCCGGTGGGCCACCAGTCGAAATGCGAAACCACACTCTAAGAGCCCTCACGATTCTGACATTCGGATGTTGGCTGGCTCGCTTGCTTGGTTAGAGTGCTTGCCACACGGACTCGGGCCTTGACTAAGTTCGATCGGAGTATTCTCGAAAAAGCGTCTGACACCGACTCCTCCGGGAGGTAATGAACCAAAATAACATCCGTTCTACATCGCGATTCCGAGTTCTACTTCGCATGCAAATATCAACCTCAATCGCTTCTCATCAATAGAATTTGTACGCGGGGCTCGATATAGCTTCGCGTATGCTCATGCGAGGCATGCCACAACATCGTACGGGGGAACGGAAATATTTCACCGACGAGCAATCTTTGCAATAGTTGCGACCGAAAGCCCAGTGGAGCCTTACAGCTCCATAAGCATCGCAGAGGTTGCTGACCCTTTCGAATTAATTAGGGATTTTTCTCAAAGCAGGGACACCTGTGGTACAACGGGGGAAACGAGACCTGGTTGGTAAGCAGGGTGACCTTGAGAAAATGCGACAGAGGATGATCGCCCGGTTAGTGCAATAATTGTGATCGAATACCGAAATTACGTGTTCCTGATGTACGATCATAGAACAGCTCAGCAGACCGCATCAAAACGCAACATTGACCGCAGATACATGAGATGCTCGGGATTGCTAAGCGCTCAAAATCATTGCGTGGAGAAACTTGCCTGCGACTTCGCCGCCTTGAACGATTTCAAGAAGTCGAAGCGATTGGAACGTGAAGTTACCGCCATGTGAGTATCAACTCGAGAATTTTTCCTCACCCAGGTTTGAGCGAATCTCAAAAAAGGGAGAACGATGGTATATGGAGATTATTGCCACTGGCAAGCCGGGATTCCCCGGAAGGAATTTCCGTCTTCTCCCCCCCCCCCCAGGAGTCTTCAAGGAAATATGAGAAGCCGATATTTTTCCACTTGCCTTACGAGAGACGGCTGAAACTCATTGGTTCGTGGGACAAAATCCCCGATGCGGATTTCATGAGCAATCGGTCGCGACCGGACGGGTGAGAACAAGGCTCTTCCATAATTGGCTTCAGGACCGATTTTCTGACAATGCGACTCTTGGATCGATGTCATACGTTGGTAGCTCGCAGAGACGCGGCTTGGAAGTCACGGAGAGCATTTCCAGACCTGCCCCGATTTCGATCTATCGAGCCAAGGACACTCCGACGGATCGACTTCGGAATATCTCCTATCAGATTCGTACTCCACGCGGGGCTTGACGCAACCGCTCGCTCGGAGCGTTCCCTCGGATACTCCGGTCGATTCCGCTGATTATGCTTTTCGTTGCTGTAGAAGAGAACGAGGAATAATATTGAGAGCTCATTGAGACATGTGAATTTTCATCACTCGAATAACGCGAACGAAGCAACGACCATCGGGAGCGAAACATTGCCTGCCCTGCCACGCGCTAATCTGACCCAGCTATCAGATCCCAGTCGACGTGCCGTGGCGTGGGCTCCGGCATCTCGTAGGCTCGGTGCCGAGGAAATGTGATTGAGTCTCGGATCAACATCGCTTCAACGACATTCCCCGTGTCCTGATCGATTTATTTCCGCAATCGGTTCATAGTTCGACTTAGCCCAGTTGGGGGGTCGTTCCGTCGGCTTCTGTTCTGATCGCTGTCAGCTGAATGTGCGACGTCTCCACTTAATCGTGTGTTTCAGAGCACGGCACGCGTACGTGTCGAAGCGCGAGCAAGCCACGCGCAAGACAGAGAGCCTGAAATAGACGGTGGCTTTTATCGAAATCGATATACAAGGCCAAATGTCACCGTTGATTTTGGGCGGGATGATGACTTCAAGGAATGCTTTGGTTCGAAGATGCCGAAAGTCAGAAAGCAGCCTCGTATCGGCACAATCCCGTTTCCGGAATGAAGTCAGCGTTCAGAATTGATCTGCAATCTCCCCTAACGGAATTCTCCTCGGCAGGCTGATTACGAACATCTTGCACAACCCGCACATCAACGAGTCTTTCAAGAACCGCATGAAGAAGGCAGCGCAAGACGGGAAGAAGGACCCGACCTCTTGTCCCAAGTTTCAGTGTGCTTTCGAAGAGGCCCTCACCACGCAGACAGCGCACAGCGCGACACAAGTCTCGGCCATGAAGAAACATTCCAATGAAGGGAAAAGCAAACGAAGAAAACACAAGACGCCTAGCGCCAGTATCGCTAAGGAAGTTGACAAATTGCCCCAACTCTTCGAATTCAGAGCTTAAGCCCAGGCCGCCGCCGAAAGCTACAAATGAGTGAACGGAAGTGAGGAGCGACGATGAGCTCTGGCTGGTGCGTCTGAACTCTAAAAGTGGTCGCAACGACCTGACGTCTGATAAGACGGCGATCAGATATATCGTCGCTCAGCGTGTTCAGATCAGAAGGCGAGCAAGACTCGCTTCTATTTATTGCATTTTATTTATTGCTACGGGCGTCCGCAAGATTCCATGGAGGTTGGTGCCTGTCGATGATAATCCTGATTAGCTGTGTCTTCCCCGTGAGACGGCACATTTTTCTCGCCACCATATCACAGCCACATCATGAGATTTTTTGTCGCCTTATTTATTAAAAAATCGGGTTTAAATAAAGGCTGCCCATGTTCGAAAGCAGCAATCACAACCCCCGGATGTTACGACTGTATTTTCTCGATATATGTATGAACATATCAGAAATTCCTAGATATGCTCTGCCAGCGCTTTACGCTTGTAGCTCTGGTTGACGACTCGCACGCAAAATTGTCTCACCGTCGCTGACCTCTGATCTCAAAGCGACTGAGCATGGAGAGACATTGAAAGACTCGGCACATGGAGAGTCATGAGGTGATGAGAAGAACCGAGCAAGGCGTGAGGGTTGTTCTTTTACATTCATTCGCTCAGAGATTGATTTCTTCGCCGCCGCTGCGGGGATTGAGGATCTTCCCCCTCACTGAGTGTTGCGTAATCGGGGAACCCTTCCGATCGCAGCCAATAAGCGGAAAATCTTCAAGGGAAACGAGGAAAAATGAGACCTATCGAGAGCTTGTCGGGACTTGAATCTATTTTTTTGAAGATTGATATCCCGATGTTCTGCTCAAACGCTTCGATGATCTAAGATTCTTACCCTGCAAATATCACGGGGAGCACGAATATCGATGCCTCGAAAATGAATACTAAGCCTGGGAAGGTAGCGATAGTTTCCGCGTATATCGCTGAGAAACCTATGTCGACGAAGAGAGGGACGACCCGCTCGAAGGACGAGCTCAAGCCGAATACAACTGCGGTTTCCGATGGGGCCAACAGTCGGGTCAAGTGAGAGCTTGCGGCCGTAGTTCCAATAGCTAGCAAGCTCCCCAGCGCGAGTTCTGAGAAGTGTTCTAGGTCAGGGAGTATCGATCATATCTCATTCATCATAGAAACTCAATATGAGAGCGTCTGATTTGTTGCGGTGAGGACGCTCCGGAATCGTTCCAGAGTGTCGCAACAAACACTTACGTATCCAGAACATGAACTTGCCGAAGAACATCAGCGACTTGCAGATCAGTTTTCCAGTGTACGCAAAATACGATACCATCATGAGTTTAGGATCGGAGAGATGCATGACCCTTGTGAACAAGAAAAACACGATCGGAGTCGCTACCATCAATGCAATAATGCTGTATGATGAAACTTTGGCGAAAAAATACGAGTCCCAGCCGTAGAGCCTGTTTACGTAGAGCTGCTCAAGATTGTCAGTTCCTGTGGTGGAGGAGGGTGTTGTCGTCAGTCATGAGGCAACCAAGAACGGCAACGATTCTCCAAGAATGCAGATTCTTTCTTTCTCCGTCGACATTACCTGCGTAAGGGATGTTCGCAATCGTCAACGAGATCAGCATGAAATATATTTGAGCTCGTGCATGACCCGGCCGAGCCTGCTCCAAGCAGTCGAGTCCTTTACGGAGAGTACTGAAGTCCGCGGAATTCGCTAGAGCTGTGCAGACGCTCTCGTTCGAATAGACACCTGGATTTTGAGTCGGGAAGATCAGTTTTCTGTGACCTCCATTGATTTGTTCCATGTCTCGCTCAGTTCCTTTCATCGGCCATCGAACAGAGCTATCTCACCCAGATCTCGGAAAACGAAAACAATGAGTATTAGAGAAAACAGCAAGCTTCCGATTAGAAGAACGGCGAGGCTGAATGGCCCGTGATGCTTGTACAGAGGCGTTCCAATGGCGACAGCGATGAGATTCGACAGCAGCAACAGATACCTGAGCAAGAAGTACCTGTACTTGCGATCTTCCGCTGATGTCGTCAGAGCTATACGAGTTTGGACAGCGGTCATCACAACCAACTGTCCGCCTGGAATGAAATTAGTAGTATACACTACGCTGACTGCATACCTGTAGGAACGAAAGTGGCTTCAGAACAGGACCTCACCTCCTATCGCTTGTGGAATTTGGAATATAACGTTGAACACGAGCGGCAGGCTCATGTGCACGAATGAGTATAGTTGCAATGCACAAGTTATTACAGTGCAAACAATCGCGCAAATGACCGGAACTTTCATTCCGGAACGCGTCATGAAATTGCTCGCGATGATGGTGCTCATGGCCGCTGGAATGATTGGGAATATTGGAACCTTTTCTCCAAAGAGCTTCTGGGAAGAAGGATCACACGGTTCTGGAGTCGAGCCAGGGGCCATGAACGGAGCTTCGATGAAACCGGACATCCCGATTCTAGTTGCACTGCTCAGACCTATTCCATAGGCTCAGGTACATGATATATCATGGTCCGTGAATTGGAATTTCTTCCATGTCACCGTGGAGAACAGTCAAGTCTTAATGTCAACTTTCCGAAGGAGTCCGAAGAGGTCTTGTACAATCAAAATGTCCGGTCATGACGAAGCGCTAGCCATAAGACATTTTCTTAGCAACCTACCTGGTAATGAGGCTACAATGTTGGAAGCCAGACCATAATACTTCGTGACCCGATGTACTTCATTTAGGAAGGCCGAGTTGTTCGTCAAAGACTCACAGATGGAGGCGTTGTACTTCAGCTCGAAATAGCAGCTCTTAGTCATCATTACATCGTTTAGTGGTATCCACAGGAGGCCGACATACAGAACGTATGTCGCGAGCACAAGGTCGAGAACGTATTTTTGCGTGAGCGGAAGATATTGGCCATGATGCACCATGGGTCTCGTCTCTGAACTCGAACTAGATTCAGAGCTCATGATGCTCTCTGACTCCATGACGGAGTTTTCCCGGGCAAGCGGATGGTGACGACGAGACTCAGGACGCCGAGCGTCGTCTCCCTGCGGCCCGGTGACACATACTCGCGATGATTAGGATTACCACGGAATCATGACATTATCATGGCTCTCAGGGGTCCTGCGCTTGCTGGTATCGCACGTCGGCAGGACAGTCCCGAAAAATTCGATAAGAACGATCCAACTGGCAAGAGAAAATCACATTGAGACCGCCGAGGCGGGATGCACCTGTCACTTCAGCATGTGTCGGCTGGTGTAGAATCTGATTCTGTGCAGTCACACCAACGCTGCTGAGATCTCTTCTTCGAACGTCTTTCGGTTCGAAATATTCCGCTACACTGATTCCTCATCGACATCCCTAAGTAAGCAGAATGCTGAGAAACATCATTTGAGGCTCTGCTGACTGACTTAAGCCGCATAATCGAGCAGCACGTTGAAAACACGTTTTTGTTTCGTTCAGCTCCTGGTCTCCTTTTCCCTCGCCCAAAACTCGTGACCAGCGCATGCGCAGTTCAGTCAAAACCCGATAGGCGCCTGAGGAGACAGAGGCGTCCCTTGAGAATCGTCCCACCATCGTATAATGATCAGAAGTCAGATTCTCCAACAAGTTTCCCTGCCCATTCCTTTCCTCTTCCCTTCAAATTCCAGTTTTCAGGAAAACGAGCGTCCAGCCTGTCAGAGGAATCATGGAGTTGATCGCACGGAGAATCCCGCCGTACTCCTTTAAAAGACTGAGGGATAACTCAATGCGCGCGAAGCCTATGGCAGCGTCGTTCAGGTTGACAGTCGAGCCAACCAGGCCAGGTTAGATGCATAATGTAATCTCGCCCGCTTATCCAGCGCTCCGCACGAAGCCCCCCGAGCTCATTGTATTTGGAGCTTTTTTTCCGAGCCCTCCCAATGTGCTACATGGGTAGAGGAAATGGATCCCGCCGAGATTCCTTGAGGACATGGCGCACGAGTGTTTCGGGTACTGTACAGCACGACCAAATCAAAATTCCCTCTTCAGCACGCGATCTCCGCAGGTTTGAGGAGATTGAAAGCGATCATCCGCGATTCCTATTCCCATCGTCATCCTGGGCAAGACCGGGAACCGTGATCTAAGGATCAGAGGCGGACCAGCTTTTTCCCTTGCGGGGGGCCAAGTCAGATTTTCAGCGTCTCAAGAGCTGGAAATGATGACGCGCCTCCCCACGGCCTCTGTTATAGTATTGGGGCCATATAAAAACAAGACGGGCCCGCTCGGCACATTTCTTCGCCTCTTCTTCTGCCTCGACCCCGAGAGGGAATTTCTCTTTTTCAACGAATATCGCTTCAACTCATGTAGAAGGGTTCCCTCGATGAGGAGTTCCTCGATTCTCGAAGATCTAGTATGATTTCTAGACCGTGGCTTGGCCGGACTTTTAGGCGGGCAATGTGTGTCGACATTGTCTCCCCGAAGCGATTGAGTCTCGATCTCATTCTTGGATAGATCCCGGGTCACGTCCTGTATACCTTCCTATTATAGCCTTCCAGTCATGATCGGGTGCGCCTCAGTTATATATCGCCCTACGTCGGATTTGACCGTGAGACGCTAAGAAATTCCCGTGGGACGATTTACCCGTCCTCTAGACCTTCTCTTCCGGATTGCTGCCCTGATTTCCTTCCCTCCGGATACCTTGAACCTCGAATGGAAGGTGAATGCGCTCGTGCTGTCAGTCACAGGGCGGGCGTCCGTGACATCTGTGTATGTGCGCAAGAGTCTCGCCTCCCTCCGCATCTCGAATTGCCGAGCAACGAGCACGACGTCTGAAAAAAGCAGAAAACAGTTTTTCCGGCTGTGTAACTCGACCACGCTTGTTGCGAGCTGAGTTCGCTCTCTCCGAAAGGGGCAACTGAACCCTCTATTTGTCCCACAAGCCACCCAGGCAACGATTTATGCTCTCTGCATTTTCGTACTAGGCCCCAGCAGAAATTGCTCTCACCATCCTTCTGTGATCTGACCCTGGGGCGCTGCTGGGCTTCGTCACCGCTTACCGAGCACAATGCGCAGACTCTTCGCGAGAGGTCTCAAAGTTTTTGGGTAAGCCGGCCACTCAAGCAACGAGTCGGGTCACCTCGAGAGCGTACGGGCGGAAAGTTCCCGCGAGAGTCCGCTCTCGTGTCTAGTTCAGGAACCGGACGTAGCTCTCATCCAATAGCTATACTTCCCCGGTAGATGCAAGAGTTTCCTGAGAAGAGCCCTGACCGACCAACCGATGAAAATTCTGAATCCCAAACACCCGTTCCCCACATTGAAATCCACGGAGAAACCCACGGCAACTATGAAGGATACCTGGCGAATGGAATCACAAGGACTGAGGTCGGCGAAGGATCTTCAAAGGGAGAAAGGGGAGACGGGGAGGACCAATAGAATCCGGGCAGGAGGATTCTTTCGAACACTAAGGGTCGACTACATGCTGCGCGGGGAGAGATATATCTGCGACGGGGGACCGAAGAATGGAAGTTGTGATACAGCGCGATTCAGGCATGCTGCCATGGGCATCGTTCCTCCCGTCCCAAGGAGAGATGGGCTCTGTCTTTTTCCCTACGTGTCGGAAGCTCTGGGCGCTGCATCGCTCGGTCATCTCGCAGAGATACATATATATTATTCGATGCAGCGTCTGTCGGTCTTCTCGCGTCGAGCCTCCGATAAGTATTGGCCTAATTTACTCCGGTATGTGGCTTACGATTCGATTTGGGGAAAAATCATCACTGCTCCCATCCGTGCAGGAATTTCATTTTTCCATCTCCCCATCTCTGCGTGCTCGCGGCCGGCTCGACTGAATTCGCTGACAACATGACCCCGGTCCCGCTGTCGGCGACGGCGGTGGAGGCGAGGATTCGATAGCAGCGGAAATGAATTAGAAACTCATCCCAGAGCCTTGAAGATGCAACTCTTAATACGGAATCCGACTTCGGATTTCCGGGAGAATTATTTCCGAAATTCCTTCGTGCGGAAATCACTGAAACTTTCCGGCTGTTGCAGACGCTGCTAGCTATTAGACCCCAAGAAAGCATGCCATCTCGACTACGTTGCGGCTCGAGAGAATTTTCATACGGATTTCCTCGACGGGGAAAACAATCGCTACGACTGAAGAAGCATCGATCGCTTTCCTCGATCGTTTCTGAGGCCTCCCGACTCCCGACGACGACGATTCGTTGGACATCCGCCCCCGGAGATTTGTAAGTCGACACATGACGAGTAAACTCGGACATCACAGCGAAAGTCCGGCAGAATCAATTCGTGACCCGCGGCGGCATGAGGGACATGCTGCACTCCGCTTGCGAATAGAGAGAGGGGAGGAACGTTCGAGAACAGGCAATAACGATTTCGATCGGTCGGAGCACTGTTCTCGATCGTCTGATGACGGGTGGGGTCGTGCTCTACTAATAAGGCCGCGGCCGCCAACGCAGATAACAGCCCGGATAAGGGGGATGCCGCAGGCTTTAAACGTCACCAACGCTTCTCCATCGAGCTTGGTTTTCTCTTTCTACTTGTCTGACCGTGCTTCCGCGTCTCGTTCCCTGCGCAAGCCATATCCCCGCTTCGATAGTGAGTCCTTCTAAACACGAGTTTTTTGTTCCGCCCTGGGCCAACGGAGTCCCTATGGGACTAAGTCGCTTCAAAAGCGAAATACATTGTTTTTATACGAGGACAACTTTTTGAGAATCATCTGATACCCCGTGGACTTCTCGGGCTTGAAAAATCGCACCATCAAGAAGCATCCTGGAATGACGGAAAAGGATAGTTTCTGGTTACCGCAACTCCGTCTGTGTCTCCTCGGTTCCGGCCGGAGCCGAAAAACCGCGCCAGCTGAGCGCAATTCAAAACCCGGCGTATATCTAGCTGCGACAGCGTGCGCGCGACACGACCCTTCAGGCTGTCGCGAGAACGCCAGCTGAGCGTGCAAGCGGTCAGAGCGTTACGCTGGCGAGCTGGTTGAATTAGTGGTCGCTGGATCTTCCACTAATGAGAGACTCTCCGCAGTAGTAGATGCTTTACGAGAGTGAACTTCTTCTTTTCGCCAGCAGGCCATCGACGAAGTTGCAAGCCGAGTTCGTCGTTGCCGACCAAGTTGGCGGCCCCAGCTCAGCCGCGCTAACAACGTTCGCTCGAAGACGGAACACTCTTGAAGTGCTCTAGCAACCACAAAGGACGATTCGCTCGAGCTCTCCGATGTTGGAGAAAACTCCGGGAGAGCGACAGATAGATTATGTGTTCCTTTATTTTTGGTTCCCGCTGACCCCAATCGCTGTGGCGTCAATGGACTCGAATCGCAGCTCCCGCCGTGCTGCGCCTCCGAGCTCGTGTTTCTCCCGGTGCGGTATGCAGATTTCAATAAACGGAATTTTGTAGATTGGGACGTACCTTCGTATCCGAGAGGCTCAGTCAGTTGGACAATTCTCGAACGGTCGAGAAGCCGAGAGTTGTCCCTCGGGAATCGAAAATCACAAAACGTACCCCCCGAAACTCCTGGTGATGACGCGAGGAGATACATTCAGAACCGAAGAAAGGGATTTTCTTCCCACTACGGAACCCCCAGCCGATATAATGGTCGTGTATTGGGGACTACCTCTGCGACTTGAATTCTTCACCGATGCAGTCCGGAGATGTCTCGATCGTACGGCTCTGCTCCGTGATTTTTTCCGACTTCGCGACTCTGCGAAGAGGACGGAGCTTCAGTCGTGTGTAGCTCTCGTTTGACTTGCATCGCCACCGGCTTTGTCATCACACTCGTAACACTGTGTTGTATCTTCACGCCTCCGGGACTGAACCTCTGAACTTTCGAACAACGTCGTGCCGCCTTCCCCTCATTAACGCTTGGCGAATCTCGATCCACAGCCCGCTTCACTGGCTCGAGGGGCATCTCTCCGGCCAATTTAGCATTGATTGCACGAGCCGCGGGCGCCGCGGCCGATTCGAGGAGCCTTTGACCCCGATCCCACTTTGGATCTCTCTATCTGTCCTTCACTCGTGGTTGTCGACCCTATCAGGGGCTCGGCCGTAGTCATCTCTGTCGAGCTCGCCGTCGTTGTCGGCAACGTTGAGCGGCGGTGTCTCTCTCTCTCTCTCGCCCCACTCGGGCTCGAAGGCTCTCAAGGAAAGCGGATGCATCTTTTTAATTGGACTCTCCTCCCGCGGGCTGTTCAACATAAATACGAAAGCTCAAAAGCTCTGCCCTAGGACCATTGCGTCCCGAATCCAGCACGCGCGAAACTATATCTTCGTTGTTCCTCCGTCTCCGGCTGTTTTCTCGGTTCCTCGAAGCTTTTTGCGGCAAGAGTCGAATCGATACTGCCGATCTGCTCTTTCGAATACACCGTTCGCATTCAAGACGCGCTCCCCGACGTTGTTCCGAGACTTCAGGGCGTCTTTGTTTACTCTCCGTTTCATCCTTACAGAGTGATTCTGTCGGTCGGTAGGT